ACGTGTGTCTGCTCCGCCCGCGCCCGCTCTTGCTCTGCCGACATGCCGCCGGGCGCAGGCGGGGGGCGCGGGGCTGGAGGATGCCCTGCCCGGGGGGCGAGGTGAGTGCCGGGCGCGGGGGCTTGGGACGTGTGTGCGCGACTGCATGCCGTGCCGTTGCATGTCATTCAAGTGTGCGTGCGTGTGCAGTTGCGTGCCCTGGAAGAGCACGTGTTATTCGTGTGTGCATGTTGTAAGTCTGTGCGTGTCATTCAAGTGTGCAGTCGCATGGCATTCGAGTGTGCACGTGCCGTTGTGTCGTTCAAGTGTGTGTGTGTGTGTGCAGTTGCATGTCATTTGTCTGTGCAGGCACGTGTCATTCAAGTGTGTGTGTGCAGCTGCACGTCATTCAAGTGGTGTGTATGTACACACACACAGACACACACTTGAAATGACATACAGCTGCACACACGTGCACCCTCTCGCACAAGTCACTGTGCACTGCAAACCCGTATCTATGCGAACGCCAGTCGCATGGCATTCAAGTGTGCATGCGTGTGTGCAGTTGCAAGTCATTCAAGTGTGTGTGTGCAGTCGCATGTCATTCAAGTGGTGTGTGTGCAGTTGCATGTCATTTGTGTGTAGTCACATGTTATTCAAGTGTGTGTACAGTCACATGTCATTCAAGTGGTGTGTGTGCAGTTGCATGTCATTTGTGTGTACAGTCACGTGTCATTCAAGTGTGTGTACAGTCACATGTCATTCAAGTGGTGTGTGTGTACACACAGACACACACTTGAAATGACATACAGCTACGCACACACGTGCACCCTCTCTCACACAAGTCACTGTGCACTGCAAGCCCGTATCGGCATATGTGTGGGGAGCGTGTGCTGCCCGCTGCATCTCCGTAGAAATATAAATTAGTCTTAAAAATATTGTCCGCTGCCAGCCTAGATTGCCCTCTGGCAGCCACACACAGGGGCATGTCTGTGCATGTGTGTCTCTGTATGCAGTTGCATGTTATTCACGAGTGTGAACGTGTGCATGCTTGCACACACTCGCACTCTCTCATAAAAGTTGCTGTGCACTACAAACACCTATACATGCACCTGCAGGGAGAGCATGCCAAACGCTGCATCTTAGTAGTGCTATAAAGTAGTAGGGCAGTGGGCAGTATTTTTAAGATTAAATTGACCTCTAAGAAATGCACATGGGGGGGTGCATGCAGACACACCCATATACACCTGAATGACATGCGACTACACGCACACGCACACTCTTACATAGGAGTTGCTGTGCGTGCGTGCAGGGAGAGCATGCCAAACGCCGTATCTTGGCAGTATTATAAGCTAGTCTCAAAAATACTGCCCGCTGCCAGCCTAGATTGCCCTCTGGCCAACTGGGTCACCGTGATTTTGTAGCTGTGGCGTAGCGAAGGGTGAGGTTTCTGTTTGTTTTAAAATAATAGCCTCCCGAAGGCATTCCCCTGCAGAGGCTGTGTGTATGGTAACCTTTCTGAAAGCTGTGTGCGCTCAAGTCTCGTGACAAGCCAGTGTTAACGAATGAGACGGGGCTGCAGCTTTTGAAAGCAAAGGAGAGCTTTCATTTCTTTCGGATCATGGGTAAGAGAGCGTTTTGCTTTGTGCCGGCTATAGGTGCCACCCCCAGGAGCAGCGGGAGAAAATCTGTGCTGTCCCGCATCGCCGTGAGCCAGCAGCATGCTGCTAAGGGTCAACCCCAGTCAGTTCATGGAGCATCAGCCTCTCTTTGTGGAGAACGCGGAGTGCGAGTATCCTGCCCCGAACTCGCTTCCCGATCCATTCATGACCGAGGGACCCTCTGCCTCAGCTGAGCCAGACCCGCTGGCCTTCAACCTCACCAACGCCACGGACTGCGGCGAGGAGATCCTGCTCTACGGGGACACCGAGAAGATCGTCATCGGGACGGTGCTCTCCATCATCACCTTGCTGACCATTGCTGGCAACAGCTTGGTCATCATCTCCGTCTGCATCGTCAAGAAGCTCCGCCAGCCCTCCAACTACCTGGTGGTGTCCTTGGCGGCGGCCGACCTGTCCGTTGCCTTCGCGGTCATGCCCTTCGTGATCATCACGGACCTGGTGGGAGGGGAGTGGCTGTTTGGGAAGGTGTTTTGCAACGTGTTCATCGCCATGGACGTGATGTGCTGCACGGCTTCCATCATGACCTTGTGCGTCATCAGTGTGGACAGGTAAGGAGCACTTTCATCCAGTAACGCTTGCATGGCGGGTGCTTTGGAAACACTGGAAATCATAAATCCTTTGACTTGGGTGGCTAAGGTAGTCGCTGGAATAGATCATCTTGCCCTCTTCCTTCTGCAGAAGGGGAAACCGAGGCAGCGAAAGGGGCTGAGTGACTTGCTCAAGCGTTGTGGGGGAGGAAGGGACTCGGCTCCTTCTGCTCTCTGATAAGCACGTGACTTATTTTAGGCTACAGAACCGAGTGCACGGCCCGGGTCAGATGTCTGCAGAAGTGCCTCTTTGTAAATGGAGGTTGCTCTCAGGTTAAAAATGCAAAACTGGCCCCTTCCGGGTTCATATTTGCAGATGGTGACTGCTCCAATACAGGGTGTTTGTGGCTAAAATGAGATGGGAGCGCACTTGAGGCACATATTTAAGTGTTTTTCTGGACAGAGCTGCAAGGCTCCGATGGCTTTCCAAGCTCTGATCCTGGTCGAGTCGGTTTCCCAGGATTTGTTTCCCCATCTGCAAATTTTGCAGCTAATTATATTGTCTGCGTCACAGCAGTATTGCCAGGATGAGGGGTTGGGGCAGATTCAGATCTGGAGAACCCTGCTTATTTCTCGGTGGGGGGGGGGGG